CACCTAACAAGGTATATATACATTTTTGTATGGGGGGAAAAAAAAGTGAGATAAACAGCTTGGTCAAATAGCTTGAGTCAGTGGATTAAGTAGTTAGGGAGGTTTATTTGGAGGAGTACTAAAGTGTGCTGTGAATCCTAACGGCAGGAGAGAGAAGGCACTATTTCCCTAACTCATGTTAAACCCTTTTTCTTTGTAGAACATTTATTGGGATTATTATTTAATGGAACATACTCTGAGAATTGCTATTCAAAAGGAATCATCAATTCCACTTTAATGTTTGTCAAATTTAACAATAATTTAAATTTTAAAAGGGTAAGAAAAGTAATGGTTTTAATCCAAAGCTCACACAAAATACAGACCATATAGTGCTTACCATGTGTCAAGCACCAGCTGAACACTTTGTATACATGATCTCAGGATTCAATACATGATTGAATCCTCCTCAAGGATTCAATACATGATTGAATCCTCTCAAAACACTTTCAGGCAGATATTATCTTTCCAGTTTTATTATTAAGATACTGAGATACAAAGTGACTTGACCAAGTAAACAGTAGAGATAAAATGTGAACCCATCTCTGTCTGATTCCAAAGCCTTACTCTTAATTATTACGGAATTTGTTGTTGTTAGGTGCTGTCCAGGCCCCTCTGACTCATAGTGACCTTATGTATAACAGAAGGAAATGTTGCCCAGTCGGTCCTGCACCATCCTCAGAATTGTTACTATGTTTGAGCTCATCATTGCAAGCCACTGTGTCAATTCATGTTATGGAACAGAACTAAATTAAAAAGCTCAATCTTTAATCTTTTTTTTCTTTTTTCACAATCATTGATTAATGTATTTCCCTCTTTGGTAGGCATTTGACAAACACAAATAATTATGGTTTCTCCATGGAATCACTTTGAACAATATACATACATACATAAAAATGCAAGCTTATGATGTACAATCTAGGGTGTTGGGTTTTCCAAAAAGGTTACTCAATGTTTACTAGTGACCAGTTTCTCTGGAACTTACTTTTGATTTACTGTGTCGTATAAGGGCAGACAGCAGTCTGTTTGACTCCCCCATCACACCAGCATGGTCTTTGGCTTCACACCATTCCACCAAACGCTCCACTAACTTAAC